CGTAACTCTATACCACACCACCACCCCTTCCTTCTCAATCACCCCCTTCCCACTCCCATTCTTGTATTCGCCCAAAATGTACGGAAGAAACATCCGCCACGCATCATGCACCATCCCGGACGCGTAGTTTAACGGCGCCTGCCCGAACGAAAATATCCCTAGCTCGTTCTCGTGCAGCGGCCCGATGTAATGCGACTCGCCGAAGTCGTTCCACGTAAGAATTTCCACATATTGCGGCTGTAAGTCGAGCACCTGCTTCCACCGCGTATGCCACAGTCCATCGCCCTGCCATACCCAGTTCTTGTGGTACCGTACCATGTCGGTGTAGAACCACGGGCTGACGGGCATGATGTACGGCTTGCCTTTGGGTTTCAGGGCGGAGATATACTCTTCGTCTGTGGACGTGTTCATCTGCGCCGTCCCGTATGGCCATGCGCTCCAGGAGAGTAACCCGTCCACGACATCTTCGCTTGCTAGTTGCTCGGGGGTTCGGACGGACCATTCAGGCATGAAATAGATATTGGGTAACTTTTTCTTGATGGTGGACCAATCAGACAGGGATTCGTAGCCCTCGAAGGTGGAGACCAATGGATGTTGGTTGTCGACGCGGTAGTAAGCCGTGTGATTGGCGTAGCTTTGCAAAACTTTCAGGACTTGGTCGGGAGGCCAATGACCGTCGCCGGAGTAGTCGAGGGACAGGAAAAGCTTGAAGTCATGTTTTGCTGCGACGGTGAGGGCATCTGTTAGGAGCTGGTCGGTGTTGGCGGCACCATAGCCGGTGTTTAAGGCGAAGGCGTCGATTTGAGCATCTTTGGCGGCGGTGATGTCGCGTGTCCAGTGCGCTTGGGTGAAGTTTTCGGCGTTGGCGAGCTGAGAGGAGGGTTAGTGGGTGAGTTTTAGGGTGTGGGTGATAGGGGGGAAACGGACGATGAAGTGCGCAAAGACGTCTTTGGCTTGGACGTGGACGCTCAACGCCACGAGGACGAGGGCGAGCCAGATGATGTTGGCCATACTGGCGGGCTGGCTGGCTGGTGTGGACGGGTGTACGGAGTCCTTTCCTTCCCTTCTCTTCCTGCGACCTAAATCAAGGCCGAGGAAGTGGGAAACGAGCGATACATAAGTAGACAGGTAGGATGGTTACAGTAAGTATGTGAGTTGCCCCGGAATTTTTACTTCAATGCATTGTGATAGTCAGGAGATAAAAACTGAGCTATGTGAACTGTAACTGAGAAAAGCAGTAGCCTAGTGAAGGCGCATCATGCAGTGCGTGAACACAGTTGTCAAAGCAGAGGCAGACAGAGAAAGCAGACTAGCAAAGGGGAGGGAAAGAAGAAGTAGAGGGGATTATCGTTCCGAGTGGACTCCATTGCGTAGGCTCATTTCGTAGCGGTCAAAGTCACAGAGGCTCGGAGGATTAGGCTTCAATGCTTAGATGAGATGCGCAACAAAACAGAGTTCAATGTTTTCTCGTAAAAGAGAGGAAAAAATCGAGTACGAGTAAGCGAGGTTTGAATTTGTGCAAGGAAGCGAGGCATACGATAGTTGGGCGAGGATGAAGCTTGTTGTCTGTCGGCCAGCGTGTAGCTGCTTGCTTGGTAAGTAGACCTCAAGGAAGGGGGTGGTAGTGGAAAAAAACACCCCGGATTGACAGGGCCACGGACCGTAGTGGCTGTTGATTATTGATAGTCAGACTCTGACTACTGCATTGTCAATCCGACTATTGATTGTCTCGGATGTGATTCATCAGCTGCTTGCTGTGTGTCTGAGCGAGTTCGCGGAACTCAAAACCCTAAAGGGGTCGCGCGCGACGCGGTGAATGCGAACTCTGCCTCTCTATGAACATGACAGGTCGTCTATCAATCAGACTTTCGGATTCGGTTCGCCCTGGTTCTAGCCAGTGGTCCCCGATTATCTTCAGTGAGTGACCGAGATCGGGGAACTGTCTCGAACGTTGCAAGGTCCAACGTTGTTGATGACCCGGAGATCGCTCGGCGCCGCGCCACCGGGGATGCAAAGTGTGTCAGGGTTGACCTCATCGAGGGCCACAAGTGAAGATTTTTTCCTTCTGGATCATATCCAACGAAGTCCACCATTTTTGTGCACTATTCTACTATACAAGCTGTTATTACATTGCAGCCGTTCACCGGAGTTTACTTTTATCGGTGGAGTTCGACTGGTGGGTTCATGCACCGAAGGCATCCGGTCATGCGAGGGCGTGGAGCCCACTACGCGGCCTATCAATACTGGCAAATGGTCGCTCGCAGCATGCAGCCAAATAGACTCTACGTAAGGGAGGGAGGGGTTCGTTGCAGCCGGATTAGACAGCTGCATTGACGCACCCGGGCACGAGCTCGTTGGACGTGCTGGCGATTTCTGCGGCCTTTGCCAGTCGAATGCACCTTACTTTTCCTTGATTCATGCTCGCTTACCGCTGACAGCCTCCCAGACTAAGAGATACGCTTGTTGGGGATGACTTGGCACTGACAGATTTCACAGAGTAGCTACTAATACTGAGAAAATCAAGGACAATGGTTGGTGAAGGTTTTGGAGGGAAGCTGACGTATCACAGGCAGACTGACAAACAAAGTAGTGGTAAAGTATCTACACCGCGCACAAATGACCGGTTCAACAGACCGCATGTGTTTTTCCCGACTTCCCCTGAAGCGAATGCTGCTCGTTTCCATACACCGGATGACCTTGTGGTCCGCGTGTAGCATGTGTCTGGACGTATCTGCTGGGTGTCAATTTATGCCCGGTCGCCTTCAGAGGCAGAGATAGAAAAGGAAAGATGACTTACGTGCTGTACCGCTTGATCATGGTCTCATCCATATCCTCTAGCGTCTTCAAGCCCAGTCGGATGTCCTCCACAAGCAGGTTACACCGGTGCAAGCTGAAATCCTCACGCAGCACGATCCGCATCATCCTCAATTGATTACACTTCGGCGCCATGGTATACGCCGGAATTACCCATCCGCGGCGACGCAGCACATGGGCCAGGGCGAATTCGTCGTACAGCCGGCCCTCTTGCTCGGGCAATCGGAATGCAACCAGAGGAAGACCCCGACCTCCACCGTCACTCATGATAATAAAGCCGAGTTTCTCCAATTCCGCTGCTAGATGGTCGGCAGTCTGCGTGAGGTTGGTCATGATCGATCGGAAGCCATGCTTGCCTAGCCGGATCAGTTGGTAGTATTGCCCAATGACGTGGGGGGCGCCTTTGGAAAAGTTCAACGTGAAGCTGGCCTGCTCGGCGCCCAGATAATTGATATTGAAAATGAGCTCTTTGGGAAGGTATTCGGGGGCGCGCCAGAAAACCCAACCAACGCCAGGATAGACCTGTCACGATCAGTTCGAGTCCGCATTCGGCGAGGTGTAATGGTTTATGATGTATCTCACCAGTCCGTATTTGTGCCCTGAGACATTTATGGAGATGACTTTTTCCAGGCGAAAGTCCCACTCCAGCTCTGGTTTCACAAAGGGCACCACAAACCCGCCGCTAGCCGCATCCACATGTATTGGGCAGTCGATGTTCTTCGCGATTAGCAGGTCATTGATTGCCTTGACATCCTCATACTGCCCTGTGTACGTTGTCCCAAGGATGGCACAGATTCCCACCGTGTTTTCGTCCACCAGATCCACCGCCTCCTTGGGGTCAATAACATAGCGGGTCTCCGTGCAATAGACATATCTCTCCTCGACCTCGAAATACCGCGCGGCTTTCTCCCAGCACACTTGTACCGCACTGTTCATGATAATGTTCGGGCGCGACCAGTCCTTCCCAGCTTCCTTCCGCTTGTTCTGCCAGCGCTTCTTCATGGCCAGCATGGCCAACATGATCGCTTCTGAGGATCCGACCGTCGAGGTGCCGATTGCGTCTTGCTCGTTGCTTGGGTCATTGAGGCTAGGTGCATGGAACAGGCCGGCGATCATATTGACACAGCGGTTCTGGATATGTGCAGTCTGTGGATACTGTTCGTAGTCGATGAAGTTCTTGCTCATGGCGTCAGACATGAGCTGTTGCACCTCATCTTCCTGGGATAGAGTTAGCAAGAGCATCGTGCTTGCTTCTCATAATCGTCTTACCATATAGGTAGTGACAAAGCTGGCTAAACTGGAACATGTTACTATCTACAGTTCGAAGAGTTCAAAGAGAAGCGAAGTATTACTTGAGCAGGGGATTCCCATCCAAACTCAACTCATCTTTGATCATGCGATATGCCACCGGGGCTGGCATTTCATGCTCCGACATGCTATGCTCGGGCAGCTCTTCGACTGCATATCGCGTCCCGTACACGTAAGGTGACACCGCAGCTGCCTGCGCATCGCGTTCTTCGCGCTGACGCTGATGGGCGTGGGACTCTTTACGTACGGTCGACAGGTGGACCATTCTGACTGCGTCTTAAAGATTGACACTATCAAGAACGAAGTTGGATTGAATGTTGCTATTATTGGGACGGCCCATCCTGCCCCAAAACGAGGGCGACGTGGCCGTCGACTTATATGAGGGACGGTGGTTGCACTGAAACTCTGTGTCCGGGATGACCTCACCACATCCGTATCCGGAACCCCCGGTTGTCTCAGGCGCAGTGTATCCTACTGTAGGTACAACCTAAGGAGAGGCGCCTGGACCAGGAGAATGTTATACAACAGCTGTCCTGCTCTCCTCGTCTCGTATCGGTCGTACTCCGTAGATGTCTGGGCTTGGGAAAGCCAGGCCTAAGGTGAGAGCTGCTCGGAAAAGACGATGCCAAGTAGTAGCTACCATGCCATGTCAATAATGACACTTGGCTACAAGATTATAGAGCTCGCGGTTATGCGGAGGAAGTACTGGCTATCTCTGTCCAGCCGTAGCTGCAACAAATCAAGGCATCGCGTTGATGGCGATCGGCGACGGCGGAGTTAGCGGCGGAATTAAGCGGCGGAACCGTTGAGAATTGAGGCCTCAGGCACCAAGGCAGTAGGCTATCCCTGTGCGATGCAGTCAATTCCGCCGCAAAGTCCGGCATCGCAAAGGCATAAAAGAGCCGAATTGGCATGTTGTTAAGCATGTCATCTTGAATAGTGATAGCTTCGCTGTATATATTCATTCCAGCAACATGACCGGTTTCAGCAAACTCCCTGCTCGCTCTCTGGGCAAAAACGGCCCGCTCATTCCGCGAATTGGCCTCGGACTCATGGGTGCCAGTGGTACTTATGGCCAACCTCTCCCAGAAGCTGAGCATCTACGGTTCCTGGACGAGGCATACCAAAGGGGTGAGACGTTTTGGGATACCGGTATGTACCCATTCAAAATTCCAAACCACGCAGACTCTGACAGCCATAGCGGATAAATATGACGATTCCGAAACAGTTTTGGGCAAATGGTTTGCTCAGAACCCTGATAAGCGGAAGGATGTTTTTCTGGCCACCAAGTTCGGCATCTGCACCAATCCCAATGCTAAAGACGGCATGAAGAATTGGATGGATTCCAGTCCAGAGTACTGTCGAACTGCGATTGAGAAGTCATTGAATCGCCTCGGACTGCCATACGTGGACCTGTACTACGTCCATCGCCTGGACAAAGTCACCCCTATTGAGAAGACCATCGAAGCCATGGTCGCGCTCAAGCAAGAGGGGAAGATCAAATACATCGGCTTGAGCGAGTGCAGTGCCGACTCGCTCCGTCGGGCCCATGCTGTGCACCCTATCTCGTGTGTACAGGTAGAATATAGCGTCTTCTGCACTGATATCGAGTCCCCGAAGGTGCAGTTACTGCTTACTGCGCGCGAGCTTGGTGTGGCTATCGTGGCGTATAGTCCGCTCGGCAACGGATTCCTTAGCGGGGCAATTCGGTCGCGGGAGGACGTCAGTAAGCCCGGAGATGTCCGAGGTGTGCTTCCCTGGCTCAGGAAAGAGAATATCGATAAGAATGTTGCTGTGGTGGACCAGCTGGCTGAGATAGCGAAAGGAAAGGGTATGACCACGGCACAGCTGGCGCTGGCGTGGCTGTTCAACCAGGGTGACGACATCTTTGCCATTCCGGGAACGAGCAAAATTCATCGATTGGAGGAGAACTTGGCCAGTCTGTCCTTCCAGTTATCGGAGGAAGAAGAACAGTCAATCCGGCGGATCGCACAGAGTGTTGTGGGTGTGCGCTTTCAGGCCTTGACTGGCTATGACTTTGCTGATACCCCACCACTGTGAAAGGGGTTTTCTTGCCAAGTGTTGGTGGAACATATTGTATAGATAGCTTGGCATGCTGTCTTAGAGACAGTGTATATACAGTTGTTCGATTTCCACTTCATGTCCATGTTAAATATACAACGTAGCGATGTGGCTTAGTCTTCGTAGAGGATGTTAGAGTCACCTGTCCAGTCAAACAGCGACTGCAGCTCCAACTGACCATCGGACAACAGAGAGATTTGGGAATGTAAACCACGACCAATGTCCGATTCTGTAACGATCGAAGGAAGTCCTTGTGAGTCAAGGCATGGCCCAAGTTGCGCAGTGTCTGGTCCTGTTGCCTGTGCGGATCCTGAAAGTAGGCCATCTAATTGCAGATCTGGGACTGGCTCAGGAATTAAGCAGATGACTCCAAAGTATGGAATGGGGAACCTCAGGCCTCGGTGGGAGGTATGACATAGAGCATCATCTGGGCCAACATTGTCCCGTTCAATGCACGCAATGTAATTGATGCCATCGGCTGCCTCCGCCTCAATATTTAGGAGTCTGCTTAACCAACTTCTTGTTTTGATGGCAGAATCTCTATTCGGGCCATTCAACGTGCAGACCTCGGCTAAGGTGTCAATAGCCTGTTGTATCATGGCCAGGTTTTGAGGGCGTTGATGTTCCAAGACGTTCTCAGATCCCGCCCGGTGTCCCAAGATATGAGATAAGAGCAGTGTCACTGCCGAGATGAAGGCTTTATGCTCAAGCCCACGATAGGAAAGGATGGGTCGTATATTCCGGAATTCGAGACAGCGACTCAGTACTTCACGGCTTGCAGGGACGACCACTTGTATGCTGTAAGAATGTTCTGGTAGAATACATGATATTGCTGACTGGCTGATTTGTGTATGATTCCCGAGTTGCATGAGTAAGTACGGTTGGTGAAGGAGGATCACGAGGTAATGTTGGTGCATTTGGGTGATGAGCATAGAGACTTTGTCCATCTTGTCGGTATCCGACAACGTGCTGTCTAGGGTGGGAACTTTCCAGCAATCTATAGGCACTGATCGGGTATTCTTTCTTAGTTCATCATCTATGCCGCGTGTCACTGCATAATGATCGTATGTACTCTGATATAGCCAATCGCAATGCTGCATATGCACATTCCGGACGATTATCCGACCTGCGATGACAGCATGGATGCGATATAGCTTTCTAAGGGGTGAGTATTTATTCAACGTCTCCCTATCCAGGAGCTCAACATCTTTCACCTGACATGGAAGACCAAGCATTAGCGACAGAAATCTATCATTATATACGAGCTGAATCCAAAGCGATTCCGCGCGGCTCTCTGCTTCGTCACGTTTCCTAGGAAGTCCGATCAGTTGGGCAATGTTCAGAGCACGGCGAAAGATCAGCCATGCCGAACGCAGCTCCCCAGTATTGATGTAATAACGGGCTTCCAGTAACAGAGTATCGAGACCATCAAGGGAATCTACGAGTGTGTCTTGCGACGTTACGTGGCGAGCTGCTAGATCGAGATAACGTCGAGAGGAGTGGCCAGTAAATTGATTTATCTGCAGCTGCAGCTGCAGTTGTGGGCGTGGAAATGATGTGAGATCCAGCTGCTGTAAGCCGAGGGCGAGCTCTATGAGTTTCTGAGCATATTGGATCGGATGGGACGTAGGCAATGGTAGCCGGGAAACATCTCCAGACTGTTCTAGACCAGAGAAGACAGCCGATTGATCTCGGACTGGGGACCGGCAAGTCTGGAAAGGAAGACTGAAGAATCGACCCTTGGTCAAAATAAGCGCGGCCGTATTCGGATGAGGCAGTAAAGCCGCGAGGGATTTGCATAGCTGCTGAAAGGGCGATGGTATCAAGGCTTCTTTCGGCCGGGGAGAACTCGCTCGGTCGCGACGCTGAGCCGGTGGCTGGACCTGAGACTGACAGCTGTCACGCTGCCGAATCAACTGGTCGACCAGGGATTCAACGTGGCAAATCCGCTCCGATAGTTGGCCGTGACTACTGCGGCTTCGTGGATCGGCATGTTCCTGGCTGATGCAGGGAATGCCTCGCGACTGGCAATAAAGACAAGTGGAGCCCTTAAGGGGCTCGAACTCGCAGCGTCGCTTCCGATGCTTGCATTCCCAGCACGAGAAGGTGCCCTTGCGGGTTTTACGTCGCTTGGATATTGTGGGCGAGCGCCCCGATGCCGGCGACGAGGCGGTAGGCATGTCTGGGAATGAGGAAAAGTTCTCCTGGGGTGGATTGATGCAAATAGGTAGGGAGGAACATGAAGGGTCTGTCAGAAATGGCGGGGGAAATTGTTGCCATTCGATCGGCCCGATCACCGGCGCTAAGCTTGAAAAGCCAGAGTGAAGCTGACCACCAAAAGTCTCCACTGGATTTCTCTGTTCCTTATTTGTACAGATTTGATTCTTTGACTACTACGTACACTGCTGTGCTTCCATTTCCTTTGTCCTCCCAACTATTTACTAGACATTTTAATCGAAGTCGAGAATTTCGACATTCAAGCCTGGAGGGACATGCACACTCCTCAGTCCGTCCACATCTACATCGTCAGGCGCCTCGACCCTGCTACCATTAGTATACTCTAGCAAGGAAAAGGTGATGTGACGCACGTCATGAAGTGAATCGGTGGGGTGGTCAGTGTGGAATCGAAATAATGGGGGAACTCCAGGTTTTTGTCTTTATAGACATCTTGGAGCCTATAGGACCATAGTTAGCTCTTCTTTGGCAGGCGAATTGGACCACTGAAACCTTCATCTTACTTTTGAGTGAGCTGGTCCCCTTCCCCGTAGTATTGATGGGCGAGCTCGTTGTCGTAGCGGATATCGAAGGTCTCCGGTGCCCCATTCTTATTAGCATGAATCCGTGCCACAGCAAAGACCATCCTACTCACCAGACCTTTAGTCATCTTGGCGCAAGAAATACTAATTGGGAACCTAATCGATGATCAAGATGTGTTACGATGTGGGTGTATTATCTGTCTGGATAACTCTTTGCTCTTATAGTTCAATGATTTCGGCCTTCGACGTCGAGAACACACCCTAGACTTGGTCCGGTATTACCTGGCTTCCTTGATAATCGCTTCAAATGAGCATTGACTGGCTCTTTGCGTTGCAGATGTGAGGTCATTGATACCTCATGAACTCTGCTGGGTGTGTCCATGACCAGGATGGCGGTGGTAGAGTTTGATGACCCATGGGTGGGAGTCGCCCGGTAAGTTGTGACAATGCCAATTGACTGGAAAATCGCGGAAATGACAGGAAGTGTCTCTCTTATCTCCTCTGTTGAGATTGACGCATTTAGCTGTGGAGATCCATCTAGAGATTTATTCCGTTCTTGGAGTGTATCCGCCCCTTTAGTGGATGAAGTGAGGAAGTTATTTTCTTAGATGATGCCTCCTGCCCGAGTCTCTTTACAGGTACCTTACTCTAGGAAAGGATCAAAAGACCGCTCGGGACGAGAAGCTAACGCTGCATATGCTACAGTGAGATAGAAAACTGCGGCATAGGGTAGCCGGAACATCCGTGTTTGCATCGGCTTCCTGCAGTGGTCCGTTCACATACAGATTTGAAAGGGCTTTTCATCGCCATCCTACGGTCGGCAGCTCCGGTTTCCATATCCGAAGAATCAGGGCATATCATGAACAAAAAGAACACATGGTTGTGGGCAGTTGGCAAACCATGCATGTTGTGAATAGATCCCTGCTGTTTGCGGCAGGCGCGTTTAATAATGGCAACCTTAAATCCATATATCGACGCATCACTGCGCTACTGACCATGGGTCAAATATGCTATGTTAACTTACCTGAAAAGCAAATACAGCACGCCAGTGAAAAGAATCGAAGATGGAAGCTAGATGATCCAAGATGTGGTCCTGGCTCCCCGACCCAAGACAGCTTACAGATGGTTCCACTGACTTTGCCCTCAGCCAAGGCGGGCGCATTGTGATTGTATCCGACCCGGCTCTCGCTGGTGATCCGAACGAAGGAATGTTTCTCATGCATGTGCCGGAATTGGATTTCTCGTACTACCGGTTGCTCAGTCGTTCAATTTCGACAAGGCCAGGGAACAGCGGATATTTGCCTGTCCGGCTATTGTTTGTTCCCAACTTCCCATCCATTTGTTAGCGCCGCCCCCACAGAATCCTCCATTCGAGTCCATTGATCACGCCTTTGCTGGGAGGTGGAAAATGGGAGGTGGATGCGTGAGGAAGCCAATAGTAAGGCCATCTTGACTGAAAAATCTTGTAGATTAATGATTATCAAGCCCATATTAAGATGCCGGAGACCCAATCGCCAAGCCTCTTCCCCTCCGTCGGCCCCATAGTGAAAGTCCAAGTACAAGCATTCGGCATACCTACTTGGTATGTTCTCCCAGGATTCCCGACTCCCGGCATGTCGGACCACAGGGCTGTTCCTACTTTGTATTCTGTGAAGGCAGGCCGAAGAGTCACCGGGGAAACCTCGGGCCTTTGCCATTCTGCCTTCCTGATCGGGCATCAAGGCCAACGCCGGACTGCATTCCGACTCCTCTTCCTTGCATTTCTAGCTCACTACTAACTACTAGAAAGATTTATCTGTAGTCTTTAGTGGAGAATTACTAATACTGTAGGATGATGACGCAGAGTCTGTTGGGGACTTGGGGCAGGGTTTTCTTTCCCCTCATCTTCACCCCCAACTTTTCCCCCAAATTAAATCTCGCGCATCATGCATATTCACACGTGACTTTGGGGATGTAAAATCTGGGGTTGACAGCACCAGTTGTGCGGCTCGTTAGACAGTTTTACTACACACTGCTCATCTACCTCCTTTTCATTCCTCACGTAGATTCTTCCATATCTCACGGGAACCTTCCTAACATCATCCCTTTCGGATTCTTCGGAACAGCAGACGGGTATTTGCCGGGCTCATCGTGGGGGTGCCTGCCAAGCCCTAGCGGGGTCGGACCGCATTGGCATCCAAAGACAAGCCGGTGAGATCGAGAGACATAACTGTGTTGGAGAGTCATGCCAGGCTACCCGACTCGTCGGTCATCCTCATCCCGGCCGACAGAATGTATTCACCCTACGTCATTACCCACGGGGTTCCTCCGACAAATGGGGCTACTAGATCCCACGGGGTAGAGAATGAGAGGATCCTCATCACCACGAGTGGCACCATTAACTGCCTGAGCGTTATTTTCTATCCCTCCACCGGCAAAACTTCGGCTGACGCCAAAAGTGACCGATGGAGTAAAGCAAACGAAGTCATCATCCCCCGACTGGGCAGAAACGGGCCGTCAAAACCCTCGCGATTGGCATGGCTTCTCGGTTGTGGAGTCCCAGCTCGGCACGAGGCCGACCCCGGCTTTTTAGCCCTCATCCAACCCGGTATTTGCGGGCCTCCGCATTCTCCACTCTAGCAAAACCCGGGAATGTACCGCGACCAGCCAGGGTGTGTATGTACGAATGTAGGTATATAAGGGTGCAATTGTCGGGGGTAGAAGATGAAGGATAGGTGCTTACAGCCAGCAACTTGACAAGTTCGGCTCATACAACGCCATGAAGGTCCCGGCCGACCACGCCCTGCTTCTGTCTGGCCTGCTGCTGGCTCCCTCCGTGGGTGCCAGCACTTGCCAGGAACCTATCAACCATGTAGGCGAGCCAAACAGCTACGTCCAGCCTCTCAACACCTCTATTCTTACCCCCTATGGCAGCTCTCCACCGGTATTCCCTTCTCGTAAGTGCACCATGTCCTCATGAGGAGCCATGAACGTATCGCTAACTCCGTCATAGCTGAAACTAAGGGCAAGGGGGGCTGGGAAAAGGCCCTGGTTCAGGCCAAGAGCTGGGTATCGCAGCTCACAGTCGAGGAGAAAGCCTGGATGGCTACCGGTCAGCCGGGTCCCTGTGTGGGAAACATTCTCCCCATCCCTCGCCTCAACTTCACTGGTCTCTGTCTGCAGAATGGACCCCAGTGTATTCAGCAAGGTGACTACTCGAGCGTCTTCGTCAGCGGTGTATCTGCCGCTGCCAGTTGGGATCGAAAGCTTCTCTATGACCGCGGCTATGCTATGGCTACAGAGCACAAGGGAAAGGGTACTCACGTCGTTCTCGGCCCCATCGGTGGTCCCCTCGGCCGTAGTCCCTACGACGGGCGTACCTGGGAAGGCTTCGCGGCGGATCCCTACCTGACCGGTGTCTGCATGGAGGAGACCATTCTTGGTATCCAAGACGCTGGCGTGCAAGCCAACGCAAAGCACTTCATCGCCAACGAGCAAGAGACGCAGCGTAACCCTACCTACGCCCCGGACGCCAACGCCACAACCTACATCCAGGACTCTGTCTCCTCCAACCTTGATGACCGCACCCTTCACGAAATTTACATGTGGCCCTTCGCCAACGCCGCCCGCGCCCGCGTCGCCAGCTTCATGTGCTCCTACAACCGTGTCAACGGCTCCCACTCGTGCCAGAACTCGTACCTCCTCAACCACCTCCTCAAGACGGAGCTGGGCTTCCAAGGCTATGTCATGTCTGACTGGGGTGCCACCCACAGCGGTGTTGCCTCCGCCGAGAGCGGCATGGACATGACCATGCCCGGTGGCTTCACCGTCTATGGTGAGCTGTGGACTGAGGGATCCTACTTCGGCAAGAACCTCACCGAGGCCATCAACAACGGCACCATCACCACCGACCGGATCGACGACATGATCGTACGCATCATGACTCCCTACTTCTGGCTCGGTCAGGACAAGAACTACCCCAGCGTCGACGCCTCCGTCGGTCCCCTGAACGTCGACTCTCCCCCCGACACCTGGCTCTACGACTGGAAGTTCACAGGTCCCACCAACCGCGACGTCCGCGGTAACAACAGCGCCATGATCCGCGAACACGGCGCCGCCTCCACCGTTCTGCTGAAGAACGAGCGCAACGCCCTGCCCCTGCGCAAGCCCCGTAACATTGTCATCGTCGGCAACGACGCCGGCTCCGACACCCAAGGACCCTCCACCCAGACCGACTTCGAATACGGCGTGCTCGCCAACGCCGGTGGCTCCGGTACCTGCCGCTTCAGCTACCTCTCGACTCCGCAGGACGCCATCACAACCCGTGCCCGCCAGTACGGCGGGCGGGTGCAGACCTGGCTCAACAACACTCTCATCACGGAGAAGTCCATGCCCGAACTCTGGAACCCCGAACAGCCCGACGTGTGCCTTGTCTTCCTCAAATCCTGGTCGGAGGAGAACATCGACCGCACCTACCTGACCCTTGACTGGAACGGCAATGCCGTCGTCGAAGCCGTCGCCAAGTACTGCAACAACACCGTCGTGGTCACCCACTCCGCCGGTGTCAATGTCCTCCCCTTCGCCGACCATCCCAACGTCACCGCTATCCTGGCCGCCCACTACCCCGGTGAGGAAGCCGGTAACGCCATCGCCGACCTCCTCTTCGGCGATGCCAACCCCTCCGCCAAGCTGCCCTATGTGATCGCCTACAACGAATCAGACTACAACGCTCCGCTCACCACCGCTGTCGCTACCAACGGTACCTACGACTGGCAGAGCTGGTTCGACGAGGAGCTCGAAGTCGGATACCGCTACTTTGACGCCCACAACATCCCCGTCCGCTACGAGTTCGGCTTCGGTCTCAGTTACACTACTTACAACTTGACCAAGCTGGTCGCTGCCAAGCCCGTGGCCTCGAACTTGACTGCCCTCCCAGAGCAGCGTGCTGTTCAGCCTGGTGGTAACCCTGCTCTCTGGGATACCGTGTACACCCTCACCGCACAGGTGAGCAACACTGGCAGCGTGGATGGTTACGCTATTCCCCAGCTGTACGTCGGATTCCCTGATACTGCGCCCGCGGGTACCCCGCCTAGCCAGCTGCGTGGATTCGAGAAGGTCTGGCTTGAGGCGGGCGAGACCAAGAAGGTGACTTTCGAGCTGATGCGCAGAGATGTGAGTTACTGGGATGTGACGGCTCAGGACTGGCGCATCCCGGCGGGAGAGTTTACTTTCAAGGCTGGGTTCAGTAGTCGTGACTTCCATGCCAATGCGACTGCTACTTTGCTTAGGAAGTAACTTGGAGGATATTTTACGATGTGATATGTAACTAGCATGAGGCATATGATATGTATTTTATGATTGTAGATAGTTGCTAATCTAGTTATTTCTGTGATACTGGTTATCAGAGATAGGTGCTCTTATTATAGTTAGGTGTCTGACGCCCCAAACCATTGGAGAAAGATTCTAGTAGATCTTTTCTTCTCTGAGTAATATATACTCGACCCTTGATCCGGAGAAATACTGCTCGGATATCTTGATGAACGGCGTCAAACGCCACCCATAGAACCAACCTAACGCCAGTACTATAAAGAACGACGACCGACATCTCCGGCATCTCCCTCCAACTTCCTGTCTGTAAATTGCCTCTTTGTCTCATTCCTCATATGCCGAAACAATCTCCAAATGACCAACTTATGTCCACTTTCAGTTAGAGGTAGGTCCGTTTATCCTTCATGCGGTTCTTTCTTCTCTCACACCTTGCTAGTGCTCCACGGGCCTCCAAAATCGGGCCTTGCAATATAGCATCCTAAGTCACGTCAACTCAGCAGCCCCATTATCTCGACCTCTTGTCCTTCGGAGACCATAAGGCTGACGACGCCATGCCCCAGTCGGCACGCCCATTCTATATCTTGAATGCCTTAATCCTGAATCCATCTTTCAGGGACCAAGGCAGATTGTCCAGAAAGATCAACTCGACGTCGGCGATCGCGCCCTTGTTTCCATGAAATGAGTACCTGAGTTTGTAACTCTCCATTTAGCATAGAGTATGCATACTCATCCTTTGGAAAATTATGTACCTCGGACCTCGAACGAAGTCAATCCAAAGAGAGTCAGCCCTCTCTTCAATGATAAAGTGAGCCATGTGAAGACCTGGAATGAAGGGAGACATCTTTCAGATTGCGGAGTGGGCTGGATTGCTTCGAATATAAGGCGCGGCTTCAATTGGTCGCGTATTTTCCCCCGCGATGTCAAGTAGGACTTTTTCGGAACAATTATCCATATGGTCCAGTAGCTCTTGTCTGGGAGGATCTATGAGAGAAATTTCCGTGTAATGACCAGCCTTTATCTGCTGTGGACGAAAAGCAGAGCCATACCTCTCAGCCATGGTGCTGAGTATCATCTCTGTGGAAGGCAATACCAAGGACCAACAAGCCCCATAAATCGGGTGCGCAGTCCTAGTTTATATTTATTTGGGGGGGAGGGTTATTTATGGAAGAAGTCATCCATGATAGTGATCGCTTGCTTTGTCTGTATTTAGCAGCTGATCGAGCCTTTGAACGCTATGCTCGAGTGGCGATTGTGTTGCAAGATTTATATTATCCCGTGATTTTTGACTGCAACATCGCCATAGCAGAACGGATAAGCACAGCGGTATATTGTAGCTGTTGCTCCTTATGGGCTGTTGCTTGCCTCATGTATTTGGCAATTCGTTCTACTGCTCTGTTAGCTATACTGTAGCCTCATGGATTTATTTTGGTCACTAACCTATAGGTTTCCGATATACAAACTATGTCGCGTA